GTCCTAAATAAATAGGCGCTTAGGACAAAAACCCATGGGGATTCACTTTCTGATACTCCCTACTCTTCCAAAGTAGCTGTCTAACTTCTCTTCTTTCTGCCCTTTTCCAAATAAACTATCTTCTTTTATTTTAAACTCTGCCTCTTTAATTTATTACTGTTGCCAAGTTTATGATCCAGATAGGGTCCTGGTAGCTGCATGTTTTGTGTTCCAGCAGAGCAGTTGTGTGGCATGGCATGATGTACACATACCCCAGAGGTAACAATCCCCTCACTCTGGGAGGCTAAGCCAGAAGGATCACAAATTCCATCCTAGCCTGGGCAACTTACTGAAAACTTGTCTCAAAATGAATAAAAAATAAAAAGGGTTGGGAATGTAGTTCAGTGCAAAGACCCTGGAATCAATCTCCCAGTACCAACCCCCCCCCACACACACACACACAAGAAGAGAGAGAAGATACAGGTAAGCTTCATTTTAAAAACACATATTGCTAAGTGTGGTGGTACACATCTGTAACCCCAGCACTTTGGGGGCTGAGGCAGGAGGATCACCCTGATTTCAAGGTCAGCCTGGCCTACATAGTGAGTTTAAGACTAGCCTGAATTACATAGTGAGATCCTGTCTCAAAAATTTGAAAAGTAAAAAAGATACATGTCATTCCCACCAGCAATGTAGAAGGGTTCCTTTTTTTCCAAAGCCTCAGTAGCATTTGTTATTAAATAATTTACTAATAATGGCCACTCTTTTGGGGGTAAGATGGATTTATTTTTACTGTTTGTTTGTTTTTCCTTACAATATAGTTCAGGCTGGCCTTGAACTCACTATGCAGCCCAGGCTGACCTTGAACTAATGGTGATCCTCCTGCCTCAGTTTCCCAAATGCTAGGATTATAAGCGTGTGCTACCACACCTGGCTCCGCGTTTTAATTTCCATGTCTCTAATGGCCAGCGATGTTGAGCATTTCTTCATATATTTATTGGCCATGTGAACTTCTGTGAAGTCTCTATTCACTTCCCTTAGTCATTTTTTTACTGGGTCTTTTATTTTGGGAGTCGATTTTTAAAAATTCTTTATATGCTCTAGATATTAGTCCTCTGTGAAATAGCTGTCAAAAACTTTTTCCTATTCTGTAGGTTGTATTTTACTCTGTTGGTTATTTCTCTGTGCAGAAGTATTTTAATTTTTTTTTTTTTTTTAGTATTTTAATTTGATATGATCCCATTTGTTGATTCTTGGTATTATTTCTTGTACAACCAGGGTTCTGTTTGCCACTATGGAAGTCAGTATGGAGATGCCTCAAAAAACTAAAACGAGAAATTCCATTTGACTCAGCTATTCCCTTTCTAGTTATCTTCCTGAAAGAGACTCTTATTATAGTGACACAATCATACCCATGCTTATAGCAGCACAATTCATAATAGCTAAATCTTGAAGCAGCCTATATATCCATCAACAGATGAAAGGATAATGAAAATGTATTTACACACAATGGAGTAAAGAAAGATAAACTTGAGTCATTTGTAGCAAAATGAATGAATCTTTTTTTTTGGCATCAGAAATCTAACTCAGAACCTTGTGTTTGCCAAGCAGGTGCTTGTGCCACTGATCTATACCCCTGGTCCCTGGATGAATCTTGAGACCATAATATTACGTGAAATAAATCAGACACACAAGCTTAAATATTGCATGGTTTCATTTATATAGAAACACTAATTATAAATAAAGAACAAAATAAAAGATAATAAGTAGTAGGGAGCTAGATCTTTCTCAAATGGGAAGGGGGCCATGAGATGAAGGGCGTGGGGAGGGAGGGAGGGAAAGGGATGAAGAAAGGAATTAGGGTGTGTTATGTACATGTACCAACTCTACATGAGAAATGTAAACATTATGTACTGCAAACATGTACTAATAAAAAAGACACATCAATGAAAAGTGGAAATTTAAAACAATAATTGAAAAGGTACAAAGGTAAACCACTACTTGTCTATCTCAACACAAAGTAAACAGATACCAGAGAAGAGCAATAAAAAAAATTCTTAGTTTGGGAAATTTCATGTGTGAATTTCCTTTCAGAATTTACTAGAACAGCCTAGGTTTGAAAAAAAATCCTAGAAACCTTACAAATCAGATGGCCACTTACCCTGAAAATGTAAAACAGAAAGTGGGGGGCCAGTAATTTGCTCTCAGAAAGGTCATCTACATGAAAAAATAGTATTTATGCTTTCCGAGTATATGAGATTTAGGCAGAAGATTAAAGATTGTAAAATACTGTTAAATTCAAAAATATATAGTACTTGAAATGACAATTGATTATGTTAGCATGATTTCTATTCTGCTACTCAGTATATTGTCAACACAATTGCTGGGCAGTTTAATATGAATGTCCTCTCTGGTGCATCTATCTTTTGGGGTTTAGCAGTCCTAGGACCCGATTATTTGTTGATTTCATAAATAATATAAATTTTCTGAACTAGAAGCCACAAGAGGTGGCTGGATAAGGATTTAGAGTCTCAGTTTAAAAAAAAAAACTTTCTTTTATTGTGAATAACTATTGAAAAATTTATGTATAAACTATTCAATATGTGTATGTAGAGAGAGAGAGAGAATATGCCATGATGTATATCAGCAACTCTCCCTTTTAAGATAAAAGTAAGTTTTCTGGGCAATGTGTACTTAAATGTGTATTTTAATTTATGAAAATCAAAAGTATTGAGTTTTTCTAGATTTATATAGTTTATAAACAACTCTTTCTAGAGTCTAGAACTGAATAATTACCAATTTAGATCAGAGCATCTAATATATATGCGGAGCCCAAAAACAAAATAGTGGGCCGGGGATATAGGTCAGTGGCCGTAAGTGCTTGCCTGGCAAGCCTGAGGTCTTGAGTTCAATTCCCGGTACCAAAAAAAAAAAAAAAAAAAAAAACTCAACAAAATAGTGACAGCAAGCAAAACTAAAGGAATGTTTCTCATCAGTAATGAGATTATTATAGACAGCTAAGTTAGGTAGAAATAATATAAGCAGTAGAATAGGCATAGGCCCTTAAGAGTCAGAGCACTGTAACTGTGGGGAAGGCACACTCCTTTGCAGGCCAGATCTCAGTACAAAAGATGGAATGATATACCCACACACTTCCCCTAGAGATGAACTGCAGGGATTGATATTCTAAATAGGTATCAATCACCTTGGGGGAGCAGGAAGAGCCACTGACCCACACCTTCCAGGAAAAGCCCCTGTCTGTTCCCTGTAAACTTGCTATGGACTTGCTTCCCCATTTGATCCCCAATTAATCAATACTAGCTAAGCAATTATATTTGTAATCTTACTGACCATAGCTTTGTGCCACCTCATGCCCACCTTGTGATTTCTCACTGGATCAATGTTACCTAAGTGATGATACTTGTAATCTTATCAGTTGATTATAGTTTTTCCCACTTTGGACCTGCCTCACCTCGTGATTTGGCTTTCTTTCCCCAGTAAATACAGCTTTACCCAATAAATATATTCTACTCTTAACCTCTGTTGTTCCTAGAATTCAGTCTTCAATTTTATTTTATTTTTTTTTGTACCGAGAATTGAACGCAGGATCTCACGCTTGTCAGGCAACCACTTGTGCCACTGAACTGCATCCCTGGCCAATCATTCTTCAATTTTCGAGAACATGAACTAGTACAGGAAATTTAGCAGGTGGGGAGTTTCTTTCCCCTATATCATTATGAAAGTACACTGATGGGACAGGGATACGATGGAGTTATGGATATGGATTAAAACTTGGAATGTTGGGATATTAGCATATAATATTAATTCAAGAAGGTAAAAGTCAAATTTCAGGGCAGTATCTGAAGTGCAGGGGAGATCAGAGGCCTTGGTAGATGAAGAACGGAGGGTAGGGAGGTGGTATGGGTAAGTAGCAGAGAGGAAGAAGCAATGGCCTCCAAGAGCAGATGCTAATCCTCTCTGGTAACCAGGAAAAGGCAAATATAGACATGACAATGCCTTGTGTGTCTGGGGTCAGGAGATTCTGGCAGATTGCTGTAAATGGTAGCCTGTCAAATTGGTAAGGACCTGAAGTAGGCAGTGACACGCGCCCCTCATGTGACCAGAAGTCTATGTCTGCCCAGCTCCCTCTTGTCCTGGTCCTTTTGGCCTGTCCAGACACTGCCTTTCCATTATCCTTTGGTCCAGACAGAAAGCAGAAGGAAGTAAATTCCCTAGAGCCTCTGAAATCAAAATCTGTAAGAGGGTGCGTTCTACCCTGTAATCCCTAGGGTGAGACCCAGATCGCAGACTCCAGGCCTTACCTAAGGCCCCAGCCCTGCCTCCCAGTCACCCACAATTTCCCTGCAGAAAACTGTGGCCTTGAGGGTGAGGTGGAGAGGTGAGTGAAGCCTCTTCTGGGAGGGAAATTCAGACGCCTGGAAATTAGTTTCTAAGTATCCCTCGGCTTCCACTTCCAGCCACGAGCGATGTGAGATGGAGAAGTGGGGGCACCAAGGACAGAGCTTGACCTGGGGTCTGAGACTGTAGGGGGCCCCAAGGGGGTTGATGAAGGGGCAGCCCCTGTGTCCAGAAAGGGAGGGTGTGCATCCCTCTTTAAATCCCTCCTCCTCTCTCCCCGCCCCCTACCCCGTTTCGCAAGTCTGCTGGTCTGAGGCTGGCAAGGCAAGGAATATACTGTGGGAGAGGTACCGGAACTGGAAGCAGTGGGCTGTGCGCCAGGGCTGGGGTGCAAGGAGCAAGCCTAATGGGACGAATCCGTGGGCCCCACTGAGTCCCCCGCCCCGCGCGGGGGGCTTTCGGGAAGAAGGAGGCGACCCAGAAGCAGCTGCAGCCAGGGAGCCTGTGGGTAAGAGCAGGCTGAAGGGCCTAGGCCCGGAATCTGGGAAAGGCAGGTTTTGGAACCCATGGTCAAGGTGTTGGTCCAGTCGCCAAGCATTGTCACTAGACTGCCTTTTTTTGTTTTCCAAAAATAATTGTTGTTGAAAAAGAAAATCTTCAACATGGAAAAATCATGCAAAGAAAAAGAACAGCCACAGAGCACACCAATGGTCGTTGAGGACCGGCCTCTCTTGGGGCAACCTCCGGAAGAGCACCGTCCCAAGGAGGAGCAGTCCTCAGAGGAAGGGTTCTTTCTCCAGGGGATCCTGCCCGAGATGCTTCAGCCTAAAGAGCGCCCTCCGCGTCAGCGCCTCTCCCGCCAGGACCTGTTCCAGGAGCAGCCTCCCTTGGACCAGCCTCCTGGAGGAGTGGGCAAACGTAAGCTCCAAGAAGGAAGTTTCAAAGAAAGGCTAGCCCGGTTTTGCCCGCAATTTAGAGGGGATATATATGGCAGAAACTTAAGTAATGAGGAGATGATAAAGGCAGCGGATGAGATGGAAGAGATGAAAAGAGTAAGAAACAAACTGATTATACTGCATGGGAAGGCCAAATGGAGCTGTCTTTATCCTATTTAATGTGTTCTGCCTTTCATTCTGTTTTGTCTAATAGTGGTGTCACCTGGACTTTCTGTTTGCATTTCATATGCGTTTGACTGTCTTAATTTTAACTTTTTGCGCAGTCTTATTTTAGGCGTTTAGCTTGCAACTGACATAAAATGGGCTCTCTTTATTTTTCATCTCCTGACATCTGAGTCTCACCCATTTGCACGGGAAGATGTACATCATATATTGTGAAGTAAAAAGGGCAATCTTGAAAAGGTGTGTATATAGTATCCTGTTTTTGTAAAAGAAAACATGTAATTTATATATTAATATGTAAAGAAAAAGCTAAAAGTATATAGTTACAAGGCTAACTACCTAATTAGTTAACTTTTATCTTTATTGTTGTGTTATATGAATTTCTCATTTTTCACAACATACTATTTCTGCACAAAAAAAACAATATAATGAAAAATGTGAAGCAATTTTGGAAAAAAATCCGTTAATCAGTTATAAAGGCAATGTGATCCTTAATAAATATTTGTCAGAATTCAAAAAAAATGTATCCTGTATTTCTTCTGAATCTCTTAGGCAGAATTACACAGCCGGTGCTTATTATATGTAAGAGTCATACTTCTTCCCACTTAAATTGGAGTCAGACCTGCCTTCCATTGCTGCTGTGGGACAAAATGAGATAAAGGCTGTGTGAGCTGTGTGTTTTTCTTTCTTCACTTACACACACCCCTCTAATGTAGATTCTCTTCATACAAAGGCAAGTACCCAAGTGCTCACCAACAATTCCTGTGAAATTCATGAGTGCCACGTTCTCTTCCTCTCCTGCTGTACATTTTACTGCCATACAGTCGCCCCTTCACTGCTGATATCTTCAAGGTGCAAAGCCTCACTGATTTCTCTACAATACCTGATGAACTGAAACTGCGCTGTGTTTCCTGCAGGTAAATGGAGAATGCTCTTCTTCTCATTTGAATATCATATTTCCCACGTATATAGCATCCAAGTGCTGCTTAGACCTCAAAGGCTGAAAAGAATGCTTAGCAAAATAGATCTTTCCATTTTTTTCCCCTTAAAGCTTCGCTTTTCTTCCTGAAACTCAAACATGAATCTACTGCCTCCTGGGCTAGGAGACAAATTTTTGAGGCAGATATTATGCTGTGTACTCAGAATTGAGAGCCTCCCCCTCCCATATCCAAAGATAACTATGATAACAATTGCCTAACTTGCCGAGGGTGAATTCTCAAAAGCTTCTGGCAAGCTTACCTAACCAACTCAACTAACTTGTATAATTAATAGAGGAAAATAAAACTTGGGCTCAAACTAGGACATCCCCCATCTACACTATTCCATACCAACAAGAAACATGCAAGAGCCAGGCATGGTGGTCCACGCCTGTAATCCCAGCACTTGGGAGGCTGAGGCAGGAGGATCCTTGCAAGTTCGAGACCAGCCTGGGCTACAAAGTGAGCTCAAGCCCAGCATGAACTGCATAGCAAGACCCTGTCTCAAAAAGAGGAAAAAAAAAAAAAAGAAGCATGCAAAAGTATGTTGTAAAATGTTAACATATGTGTATATAAATAAAGTATATACATACATATCAGATATCATGACTTCTTCACTAACTACCTTTATAATTTATAGAATTTATTTTATTGATCTTGTTAATGGTCAAAATACAAATAGTGGTTAATAATTTTTCTGAAAATTGTGACCTGTTGGGGCTGGGGATTTAGCTCAGCAGCAAAAGTGCCTGCCTGGCAAGCGCAAGGTCGTGAGTTCGGTTCCTGGTACCAGAGAAAAACCAAAAAAAAAAAAAAAAAAAAAATTGTGACCTGTCGTAAACTCCTGAGTTTCTGTTTGAATAACTCTGAACTCTGGGTCAGTGTGTATACTTCTCTAGAACTATGATTTGCAATTCCAAAAGGAACATGGTAGGGGAGGGATTAGTTCCTCAAATTCAACATTAAAATCATTTATATATTTTGTATATCAATATTTCTCTTACAAAAATTGTAGAAGCTGGAGATTTCCTCCAGACCCATTAAATCTGTTCTTATGTAAATTAGCACATTAAAGTAGGAGAGCTGAAAGTATATACAGTATAATTCTTACTTTAGTTAAAAATAAACCATGGCATGAAAGTATAGATAATTACATCAGAACTAGAAGATGAAAAGTTTTCTCAAGCATATTTTTAATAAACTGTCCAAAATTCCTCTTCGCTGGCTAAGATTTTAAGCTTACCTTTTTTGGCTAAAGTTTTTCTTTTTGAATCAGATTATATGAAGAACTTAAATTACTTAAGACTTGATATGCTAAAATGTACCCTTTGTTACATCAGGAACTATTGTTCAAACAGACATAAATTCAGTAACATTGGAGATTACTGTCCAATTTGCAACAGCACCCAATAGACTTCCCATTAAAAAAAGAGGAAAAAGAGAAAAAAAAAAGAAAATCAAGACGACCTCACTAATTTAATTTTTTGTGGGACTGGTGATTGAATTCAGGGGTTCACACTGAGGTATATCCCCAGTCCTTTTTTATTTTGAGACAGAATCTTGGTAAGTTTCCCAGGCAGGACTAAAATTTGCAGTTCTCCTGCCTCAGCCTCTGAAATGCTCGGATTACTGGAGCACATCACTGTGCACAGCAACCTCATTAATTTTATAACAAAATTTAGAGGATGGCTTACAGCAAAGCAGGATGATACACAAAATAAAAAGCAAAGGCACAACTTAATACCAAGATGTATTTTTCACAACTGAAAGTATACAGTATAATGTCTTACTTTCCAATGCAAGTTAAATGCACTGGAAATAAGTTCAGAGTTCTTTCATATTGATCTTATAAAATGGTTTAGTCAGCCCTATGCCTTTGGCTTTATTTTCATTTGTTTAGTTTTAGTTTAGTTTAGTTTAGTTTAGCTTAGTTTAGTTTAGGAGACAGGGTCTCCTTGTGTAGTCCAGACTGGCCTGGAACTTCCTTTATATCTCAACTGGGTATCAATCTCTCAGTCCTCTTGCCACAGCCTCTGTGTGCTGGGATTAAAGGCTTGTACAACCACGTCTGGCTCTTTATTTTTATTTTTATTTTTCATTGTACCATGTCATCTTGGGAGCATTTCATGGTTCTAGACCATTCTTCAAGGTTGCGACAGCCTGAAGAATGCTGCTGGAACTGGAATTCCAGCTGGAGTGAGATCAGGTTCCAGAGGCTCACCCTGCCACTTCTACAAGACAGAACAAATCCAGCTCCCCAGCTCTCCTTGCTGGGGCAGCGACTGTCAGGGAGGATGTGGAAGGGCCCATCCAAGCCACACTCCTTTCCAGGATGCGTCTGCCTTTGGTTTCTTCGCCCCAACCTATAGTGGGCACCAGGCCCTCCAGGGGTCACAGCTGGGCTGTCTTGGGCAGACTTACCCGCAGGAGGATAGGATGGCCGCCCCACTGCAAGTCAGAGCATGGTGCCTTTTCCTTCCTTGCTCTTCCTTCTCTGGGGGTCATTTTGGTAGGGGAGAAGGTAACATCCCAAAGCCTCTTAACTGGAAACACTGGTTGGGATAGTCTTTGAGCAAGCAGGTGTCTGCACTGGTATCTTGGGGATAAAGCAAAAGGGGCTGACCTTCCCTCAGAGTCCGGTGCAGCATAGCCTCCAAACAACTGGGACCAAAATGAGGTTAGCCAGCAGAAAAGACCTCATCCATCCCTCCCCCACCCACCTTGCTCAGACTCCCAGAAGTACAGAGGACCCCGGGTGAAGGGAGCTTGCAAAGATATGTGTTTTTCAACTCAGGAGAAAACTTGTGATCCTTCTGTCTCAGGTTTTTTTAAAAGTACTCATCTTGGAGGGTTAATGTATTCAGATACTACTTCCTTGGGCCCCTGCTGTGATTTGAATGTGCCTACCACAATTCATGTATCAGAGTTGGGTTACAATGAGAGGCAGCTTTGTCCTCATGAATGGATCAGTGTTTCTATAAAAATGGCTTCTTGCAGTGGGTTCTCTATCTTCTGTTCTTTTGCCATGTGAGAATAGAAACAGGGCAAGGTCTTTTGCTCTTCTGCCTTCCATCATGTGAAGGCATGATAAGAAGGCCCACACCAGATTCTGGCACCTTATTTTTTTTTTGGTACCAGGAATCCAACTCAGGACATTGCGTTTGCCAGGCAGGCGCTTGTGCCACTGAGCTATATCCCCGGCACACTGGCACCTTGTTCTTGGAATTCCAAGCCTACAGCACTGTGAGAAAATAAATTTCTGTTCTTTATAAATTACCCAGTCTCAGATATTCTCTTATATCAGCATAAAATTGACTAAGACAGACCCTCACCAGCTCCCTGCCTACACAGAAGGCTGGTATCTCACATGTCCAGCAGCAACTCACCTAGCCAACTCCAGAGCAGAAAGCATTGAGGGTTTGAGATACTGGAGAAAAATCCCTCTGGTTACTAACATTGTTCTTCTCTTAGAAGACAATGAGTAAGAATGAGCTGGACATGGCAGCACATGCCTATAACCCCAGCTATTCAGGAGGTTGGGCAGGAGGATCACAAGTTCAAGGCCAGTTTGGGCAACTCAGAAAGACTGTCTCAAAATAATATTTAAAAAAAAATATAACTGCCCTGGGTTCAATCCCCAAGAATACACACACACACACACACACACACACACACACACACACACAAAGAGTGGGGTGCTCCTGGTGAGGCAGTGTAGAAGAGATCAGTCTCCTTAGCACATACGTGCAATCACAGCTACTTGGGAGGCTGAGGCTAGACGATTGCAAGTTTGAGGCCAGCCTGGGCAACTCAGTAAGAGCCTGTCTCAAAATTGTGACAGGGCCAGTGATGCAGCTCAGTACAAAGGCCCTGGGTTCAATCTCTAGCATGGGGGTGGGGGTAGAGGGGAGCAATCAGGTCCAAAGTCCTAGCAAAATGATCAGAGATTTCTCCCTCCCCCACTGAGACATACTAATCTTCAAGAAGTCCTGGGTTCAATCCCCAACACCTATACCCACC